AAATTAGACAAAATCAGATAAAGCTTTAATAGAAAAGAAAATGTGCCTCGAGTTTGCAAAGAAAATTTGAGGTTATTAGATTATGTCTCACCTGTTGGAGTAGGGTTTTATTTGCCACCAAAAAATACTCTTATCCTCTGGATTAGTTGGGATTCGAGATCCTGAATAGAAAATGGTGGTTTCTAGGGCAGCTTTCCACTAATGATCAAATAGAGAAAGTCAAAATTGCTTGTGGTGAAAAACGTGCAAAGCAAAACTTACCGGAATGGTTTTGAAAAAACCGAAATCATCGGCGAAGCTATGGCACTTTACGAAAACGTAACGCAACGTAAGGCAACTCAATGTACCATAAAATCATTAACTGAAAAAATTAGGTCCAAAATCTCCTTTAAGTCGAAGATAAAAATTAAATTCTTCAAGAGAGACCCTTTTCTCAGAACAACCAAATCGTAAAAGGAAGATTCACCACAAGTAATTAATTAGCTGTCCTAGATTTGAAGAAAAGAGATGAGGCAAAGTAATGACAAATGTCAAAATTAAATCGGTAAAATTTCAAATACCGAAAATTGCACACAACAATATATTCAGAGAAAAATGACAACAGCTGACGACTAATGATAACACCAACAAGTAATTAACCGCTAGAACAATCATAATTTGAATACCTCAATGAATAAACAATTCGTATTGCAAAACGTAAACGCTTACAAAGGAATCGATGATCCCAAAACCATTACTAATCGAAGGGCCAATTGACAAAGATTAACGACACTTCTCCAGTCAGCTGGCACACAAATCATAAATGACATGACTTAAGTGTCACTATAAAATAGAGAGCAACCCGGTGGTTTATGGAACCGGATGCCGGAACTAAATCGTACTAAATTCAGCAACCGAACAAAGTACGTGCAGTACACATTTCGTGAACGAATCACTATTTGGAAAACCCAACCCAAGAATAAGAAATATTTCATTTGTTTAAATGAAGAATAATGGAGATTAATTATTTGGAAATGGAATAAAAATATTGATTGAAATCGAGGAAAATCATTAGTCGTCAACAAGAACTACTCACAAGTGAAAATAGAGGTTCAATAAAAAAAGATTAGAAAATTTTCAGGATCTGCAACTACTGGAATTATTGGTGAAATTTTATAAAGCTAAAATGTAAACAAAGTCTAATAAAATCAGGGAAAAATTAAATATCTATAGGAATTTTGAATGGAAAGCTGAAAATAAGTGTGAGATAGTTAAAGGCAATTCTGTCACGTTGCAAATAATAATTGTACCTGCGGAGGAATACATTCGGTCAAAAAGTCGGAATTTCGAAAAAAAAAAAAAAAAAGTGTCATAAAAAATCCTGTTCCGTATTAGCCAAAAATAGGTCTATGATAACCCTGGAAAACCAATGTTCGTCCAGAAGTGTTCACAGTGAGTTATCTTGGTTTTACTCTATCTTTGAAAATGAAGTCAGGAAAAAATAAAGATGAGAATCGCAATTTTCGGTTGTTTTCAGATGCTTCCAACAGTATTCGGAATTTTTCAAATTTCAAAATGGCAATTTTTATGCATCATACTGCGTGGCTTTGCCACAATTCAACCGTCTCTGTGTCTCCTACGGTTTCCGAGGTGCCAATGGTACTTGGGGAATCGTTTCGCTTCCAAAACACTGAAAAATTGAGAAATTAAATCGTTATACTTTTCTAATTTTCCCAATTTTTAATATATTTTTCACGTACACTTCTTCGATTTATTGCAAAGCCTTTTGGTGCCTTCACTTTTCCATATCCGAAGCTTTTCCGGCATTGTTTAACAAAAAATAGATCATCATAATATAGTATTTTTAATACCCATTTAGAATAACCCTTTTTTATTTATCAATCACGAATCAGATAAAACAAAAAATAACCAACAAAAACGAATGTCGATTGCTAATACGTCAAATTCATGTAGAAATAGGAAATTCCTGACCTATAGTATTTGTAATACCTATTTAGAATAACCCCGTCCTTATTTATCAATCACGAATCAGATGAAACAAAAAATTACCAACAAAAACGAACGTCGATTGCTAATACGTCAATTTCATCTACAAATAGGAATTTCCTAACCTAATTTTATTTGCATGTCAAGAAGCGACATACGTTTTGTCACTAAAACGACAGGTACTTCTAAATAGGTATTAAAGATACTATAATTTTATTTTTCTACTGACGTTTCATAATAGCAACTTTTCGATTGTCATTTCAGTTTTGAAACGACATTCTTTTAGGCACTGAGTGCGTGAAAGTTACTTTTAGGCACTCAGTGCGTAAAAGTGACTTTTGAATGCGTAAAAGTGACTTATGAGTGCGTAAAAGTAATTTTTAAGCACTAGTGCCTAAAAGTGTCATTCATTATTCAGAAATAAAAAACACACTAAACACATATTTGAATTTTGTTTTGTATTTATTATGAATATTGAAAATTGAATTACTGAATTGAACGTTTGGGTTACTCAAAACAGAACTTTGTGTTATTACCTACTTTCTAGGATTTTAATTATTGATGTCGAATTTTGAAAAGAAAATCGCATGAAAAGTGTCAGGTGTCAAGTAAAAGCAGGTAACAAAGATTTTGGGTGTAATCGACTTATTCACATGAAATAAAATTGTGTTTTTTTATTATAAAATGCCAGTAGAAAAAATCTTGTATACAATACGTTACGAAACGGTGTCTTTTAGTCACTCGACGTGTTGTCCAACTCGGCTTTGCCTCGTTGGACAATTTTCACGTCGCGTGCCTAAAAGACGCTCATTTCGTAACTTATTGTATAAATAGCTATTGTCTGTTCAAGAAGCGACATACGTTTAGTCACTAGAACGACTGGTACTTCTAAATAGGTATTAAAAATTCTATACATAATAGAACGGATTCCTGGTTCGCTAAATCTCACTTTACAAACAATTCCAATTTATATTGAACAAGTTGACTCACTGTATGACTTATCAAAACGTGCACAACAAATATCGTATTTAAAGATAACTTCAACAATAATTCTCTTATTTAAATCTGACTTCCGAATGATTTCTACGCGCTATTTATAGACGTCATCGTACTCCGGATTTATCTAGAAGTCTTGTTCTCGAAATCAATAAAATTCTCAAAATAGACGTGCTCTATATAGACGTAAACATCTGGGTTACTAGAATTCTAGCAATACTTCTATATCACATGGTAATTTTTTAGGTAATACGTAATTTGAGTTTGGTAGAGTAAAAATCAAACGAGAAGAAGCCACGCGCGTTATCGTTTGTCTCACTTTAAATGGGAGGGACCCAGAGAAAAGGAAGCCATTTTGATTTTTTTTCAAATCTCAAAAGTTTCACTTTGATTTATTAGCCTGTTCGATCCGCTTACAAACAAGTAAAAACAAAAGGAATATGGTCAACAACAAAAAAAGTTACAGCTCAAAAACAAAATTCCGGTTTCTTTGAGCCCACCCTATATATTGATCATTGACCTCTAACCAAGGATAGACATCACAACCTTTTCCTAATCGAAATTATAAATGTTCCCTGGTATTTACGAATAGTACTGCGCCATTACCATATCGAGAGAACATAATATTGGGACGTAAATTGAAATTGTGATCGTATGATTTTCCGAACAAGTTTCAATATCTAATATATGAAATGACCGAGAAACTGTTTTTTCTGATTATAATGTATTTTTTGGAATTTGGATATTTGAAAAAACTTAGGAAAATCAGTGCGAAAACGGTAACCATCCTCAAAGAAGCCACTCTATAAATCAAACCGGCAACGCTGTTGGAGTATCGTACCTACACATTTTCCATTCATTTTCGGTAACGAATATTAACGTGGTTGCCGAGTCAATAATTGTTGTTTTTAGCTTGCCTATGGAGTGTATGGCAAGGTTGCTCGACAGCGATGTTGCCAAAACAAGATAAATAATTTTTCCCAAGATCTTGTTCCTGATCGTTGACGGAGCAATTTTATGAATCACTCACTTGTAGTGTCTATTCTAGAGGTCAATGATATTGATAGACATGTTTTTCCTTCTTTGGACGAGTCTGATGGAACACACAAAGAGAAGTTTTCCAGTGACTGACAATTGTCATCCTGGCCATGTTGAAAATTAGCACACAGCATACTGGAACTCAAAAGAAAAGAATATGAAACGCAGTAACTTTCTGACCAAGAGGATGAGGCAGCATTTTGAGGTGCCTTTACACCTCAAAATGCTGTTTAAATCTGACAGGTCAGAGACAACCTTAATTTTTGAAGTATAATGCTAGTTAATTGGGTGTGGTCTCCAGATAGGGTACTCTCCAGATTGAGACGCACCTGAAAGAAAAAAAAACCTTCATTACCAATTTATACTCAAAGAAAGATTGATGACTTTTCTTTGTTTCGTCCTTCTTGTCCAAAATTGGAACAGCCAAAATAAATCAAACTTTTGGATAAATCCTTTGTTTGGTGGTCTTCGGTATAACACTTTCCAGAGTTCAGTAGAATCTGTTAATGTTAAACAACGTGTGTTTCAAACAAACCATGCTGTGGTATCGCTATCGGTATATTTAGTTGGGAACTACATAGTATATGAATACTAATGTTAGTTTTAATGTCCAATAAATTTCTTATTTGCGTGGAATGTGTGTGGACACAAATGGTGCATTTACGCTACACATTTTTAATTAAATTTATAATTACCATGCTTGATTTTCAGAAACACCATACCAGCAGCAACATCTATTTCTGCCAATAGTGAGCCTTCGACAATGTGAAAAGGTCTATGGCAAAACCTTACCAATTTCGGATGATCAGCTATGTGCAGGAGGTGAAAGGGGACAAGATGCTTGCAGTGGTTTCGGTGGTGCACCTCTTTTGGTCAAGCACAGTGATACATATTATCAGGTGAAATGAACAGATTATTCGGTATGATTTTTTTTTACGGAATTTAATTATTTATTGCTCCTTCAGGTTGGAATTTTGTCTTTCGGATCAGACCAATGTGGAGCAGTGGGAGTTCCAAGTATCTACACTGACATCAAAAAATATATCACGTGGATAAGAGAAAATTCACCGCAATTGCTATAATATTTTGAGTAGGTAATTTTAAAAAAAAAATAATAATAATATAAACAATGTGAAAATGCTGGAAACATTTTTTAAATTTTAGATAATAATTGATATTTACTGTGATTTTTAATAATTGTTTTAAAATTAAGTTTATGCTAATATTCAAATATAGAGAAAGATTACTGTGAGGGGGAGGGGGTTTATAGATAAATTAACCTCACAAATTGTTTTCAAATCTTTTATTTTTAACCTAAGGTATTTGACAATTTTTTAAATGCAATAATTTTATCAATAAAGAAAAATGAAAGTAGACTAAATGATTTATGAAATTATTTACAATATCTTTTCAGTTATAGAAATTAAAATTAGTTAGGTAGGAAAAAGTGTAAATCAATAGATAACCATTAAGTATAATTATTATATTGCTGCTTTTTTTTTTTTTTTAACGGAAAAGAGGATGATTTATGAATAACAACTGTTTTTATTTTATTATACCTACAAGTTATCTATACATAATTCTCTTCTTTTTCGAAAATATTAGAATCAAGTAAGTACTTATTTTTTGCTCTAATTTTATATTTGATATTTTTCTTATTATTTGATCTGTGAAGGATACAACAGTTTATTAGTCAAAACTTAACAATGGTACATTTATCTCACTATAGTTGTCTCACTTTACCCCTGGTAGGATCAATCAGGTATCTAAGTAATACTCTGTTCCTTTTTAAATGCACAATATACACACAAAGTAAAATAGGTAAATACGTAGGTATTATGGTAAAGGTGTAGCAGATTTGAAATGTTTCTTTTATTTTGTACAATGAGGTCGAAAAAATTCACTTAAAGTATTACCATTATCAATTGAAAATCACATCTCTATGGTGACTACTCAAAATTAGAAAAATACCCCTTATAATGATATAAAATAATTTTTATATTTTTATGCCTAGTCCTGGTACACTATAACAAAAACACAGCGGGCCGGCAAAAAAACTTGAAAATTGTCGGCGATGCCGCTGGGCTTTATCGCTTGCTGATAAAGCAGTGCCGCTCTTGTTGACAGTGTGAGATATTCTCTTTAGAAGTGGACAAAAGTATAAAATTACACAGATAATTGAATAAAAATCAATTTCAAATTTGAATTTTTGATAAACGAATAATATTCCCATTCAAATATTTATATTTGATTTATTTCAATAGTTTAAAACGGAATTTTAAGGATTACCTACTATATGAATTTTGCCCATTTATTTAATGCATTAACTCCACTGTATTCTAGAGGTAAAGCAGCTAGAATTTCGGGGCAATGGCGTTCGTCATTTCAGTTTTTATAGAAATATCTGGAGTATGTTTATTCTTTATTAACCAATTTGTTTTCATTTGTCATGATAATAATATTTAGACGCCTATGGATTCCCACGTGACTTCAAAGAGATCAACTGAGCCGCTTTTTTTATGAAGTTTCAATTAATAATGGTTAAACTATACCTATCTCAACTTTTTGAGGAAAAAGATATCGATTTCAGGTGAACGGTTACCTACTCTTCAGACTGAATTGTTTTTTTGCCAAACGAACAATGTACGAACTATTTAACATTTTTTCTGCTTTACCTTTACCAGTATTTGACGATTAAAAAAATAATAATAATTACATGGATACACGAGATAGAAAGAACATTATTGCTGTTGAAATATGAAGCCTTTTCTAGATTTTACACTCTATAATATCATTTCAACTAATAACTTTTCAAAATTTATTCTGTGCAAGTTTATACCGTGCAAAAATTTTAAAAAACCCGCATTGGAAAAATAGAATTGGTCCAATATCTATAAGTATAGGGAATAATTTTTTTAGAATATCCTTCAACATGAGTTTAAATTACAAAATAATTTTGTTGCGCGTTAGCGGAATTATCTAAATGTATGACGTGGTTTAATACTTCACCCACGGCTAGTATTTGAATTCATCTAGACTATAGGGCAACTAACCTAAACCTTATTAAAAAAATGTGTTAAACTTATTCATGCACAAATTTTAACATTAGGCGCCGATGAAAACTACTTTATCAAAGTAAATTCGAAAATCATTAGAACAAGTAATTTATCCAACACTGACATTATAACTACTCTGATTTTGAATGAATAATGTGGCTTTCAATTCACTTAGTGAGTTGAGCCGCTTATAACTCATTGTCAAGATATTTTCCTAACTTACTATTAAAAAGGCGATTCATGAAAGTATGAAAGCGTTGGATAAAACTTTATATCAGGCACGTGAGATGCTACATGAACCTGTGAAAAATTTTCCTCCGTGACTTAGGTACCTATATGTAACATATCTAACTTGTCTAATAATAGTTATTTATATTACTAGTACGGTATGAGCTTCATTACAGTAACGAGTGGGGAATATTGCCAAGACGAGGTCGTAGACCGAGTCGTGGTAATCACACGAATGGTGTAATAAGCATTACCGTACGTGTGACATACAACATTTTATGTACGACCCAGATTTTTTTCATATATTCGAAATGGTTTTAATTTTTCACAAAGGATTATATTTATAATTTTTGATAAATGAATTTTAAAAAGTGCTGTTTTTCAATAAAACGAGTTACGTAATGAGCTCTCATTACATCACTGATTGATGTAATGAGAGCTCATTACTTCACTGAGTGATGTAATGAGAGTTCATTACATCACTGAGTGATGTAATGAGCTCATTACATCACTAAGCACGATAATGCAACTTATTACGTAACTCAAACAGGCTAAAATGAGTTACTTAATAAGCTCTTACAGTGTAGGTCATAGATAAATAATTATTATTTTTGAAGAGACATTTTTCATATTAGCAACGATACGGACAAGGCCTAAACCTTCAAATGAATAAATTTCTATTATAAATAGTCAATTTTACAAACCTTAGGCCGGATCAATAATTCTTGAAAACTAGCAGCTATGTTGACCCTATATAGAATTTTTTAGAGTTACCTACTTTATAAATGCGCTAATAAATACAATACTATTATATTGGGTGTCCTATTGTATTTTTAATCATTTCTAGTAAACGAATGTCTATGCTTTCTTAATTATATCTGTTTTAATAAACGCTAAACCTAGTTGCAAAAATCAATTGGTCATTTCAAATCTAATTTCAAATAGGTTTTTATTCACAAGTTGTTTTTAGATTCTTTTTAAAAATGGGTATTTTTATGAAAGGATTCTTAAATGTTCTTCAGTTTAGAATATAGAAAATATGTGGTTGAAATTATGTGAACAGAAATGTACGCGTGAGATATGTAGCTCCTATGACAGAAAAAAAAACTTAGGTCTTGTTGCTAAACGGTTGATTTTCTGCCAAAAATGGGATCGTGACTTCTAATATGTTCAGTTAAAATACATGGGCTAATTATTTTAAAATCGTAAAACTAGTAAAACCTACTACTAAAAGTTTTATTCATTTATGTAACTTCAATTATAGCAGATTATGAAAAATTTTTCAGTTTTTTTAGAATATCTGATGGCCTTCAAATAGATTTTCATCTCTATTTTTTAAAATTTGTTTTCTAATAATTTACACATTGTTAAAATTATATTCATAGCGGGTAAACTTCAGTAATTATGTATTCCTCTATCAAAACTGATTGTATAGTATCTACTAAGTGCCCCTTCAAAGAAGTATGCTTAGTTTTCAAACTAAGAAGTTAAAATAATTTCAATTATCGTTTGGCAAATGGCCCGTTTCAGCCAAGGCAATTTATTTCTGTACAGGATGGCATATTTTCAAAGTTTTAAGGGTTTATTTATTATATCGCCAACCAGCAGGGACATTGGAAATCTGGAAGGGCTTTTTTGAGCTCATTTTTTTGATAAAATAACAAGGGCAAAATCGGCTAACGTGATTTGTTTAGAAAATATTGGTAGATATTCAATTCTTTGGAAATTATACAAAAATCTTTGTAGGTTCAGAGGGCATTTACAAACAGTTCTGTATAACCATTGTCTTCCAAATGCCACTGATTTGGAATATTTTGCAAAATTCCTTTTTTTTTGAATACCCCTAGTAGTAAGTAACCAAAACTTCTCATACCTCAAAGCAGACTGATTGATTAAGCAAAAGCTGCACAACTCTACCACAAGTTGATCTGGTATATTTTATACGATACTGTACCTACATATTATATTGACTGATTTTTATTAAAATTATTACGTAAGCATTGCTTGTGTAGTTAAATATTTAATATACCCTAATAGTTCATATTAGTAATTTTATTACTCTTTTATGAGGTTTTTGCCGTTGAACACATTGTTCGGTGGTTTGGTTCCATCCTAGAACAAGTTGGTACTTAGATGTTATAGAAAAATATCAAAACTGTTAAATGTCTTATTACCCCAATTGGCTCCTTATATTATGAGATACTGAATCATGCAGAACAATGTGTTACAAAGTGTAATTTTATTCTGGAAGTAGTTGAAGTTCCTCTTTGAATGCATTACGATCCATTAATGTAATGTTTGGTTGAAAATACCTTTTTTATATTCATAACTATTTTTACATTGTTATTCTTTGTTGCCCGACTCCACCTCTGTAAAAAAGGGGGTACCTTAATTGACCATCGCCTAATAGACACAAGTGTCTGGAGCAGATCTCACCTAACGAGAACGCAGAACAAATAATGGCGGGCAATTTAAAAATCCAATTTTTTCTAATAATAAAGCAACAGTTGATTGGCAAAAATATGTTGATTCAAAAAATAAGACTATCAAAAATTATACAAATAATCTTTAACTTCCAGAAGTATTTCGAATAAAAATCTATTTAAAAAAAAAAAAAAAATAGGAAATACAGCTCTCAAAACCGGATTCAGAGATCCTAGTCTATGTAGATGATCTGGTGGTAAAGAAAAATTATATTCCAGCCAAATCAATTCCGTTTTCGAAAAAAAAGGGAGCTGGATTCCAGAGCACCCATTCTTAATGAAATTCACCTATCTTCATCGGATGCACCTGAACCTGAACCTGAACCTGAACAAATTATTTCACAAGCCACAGCGGCTATTCTTGGCGAAATCAAGGTGGATGAATTTGGGAAGGGCATATTGGAACTCTCCAAGTCTCCAACGATAATTAGAGCCAAAAGAAACAACTGGCTGCGAGAAATGAAGCAACCCTGATAGCAGCGATGAAGTAAGGCTCAGAACCACTCTGTGAACTAACGAAGGGTAACCTCGCGCAAGAACTGAGCAGATGGGAGGTGAACCATATGGTAGATGCTTCGTGTCTGAGAAAGGAAGAAAGGTTCATACCTATATCAGTAGAAAGACCTGAACTACTTATCGACATGCAGTAAGCACCATACCAGCAGCCTGAAAATCTCCAAAGCCTAAAATCTCCAAAACTCCAACTGCCAGCCGAGTCAGGCACAAAATATTTGGCTCTTCGATGCAATCAACACGACTTTCTATTATCTATGTAACAGGTAGAAGACGTGTCGGATGTGAGGTAAGGTATAGGGCTTGTAAAAAAACTGCCTTTTAACAGTGTGCAAGGAAAAAAAGGTTATTCGTAGAGAGTGTTCCTATGGGCGCGAAATACTTTGTATTATTCTAATTATACTCAAAATAAGACTATAAAGTGTTTCGGAACTGATACGCTGGTTCAAGTTATCATTCACATCATTAATATGTGAGCATGACTTTGAGATGTTAACAATAAAATAGTGACCAAATCGTTATTTGATTTGCCTGTGGTGGATTGGCCATTAACTAAATATATCTAAGTTTGTTTTCTACACATTTTACGTGAATCTGAAGCTGCCAGTATTACGTCGCTTCTAGGGCACTCTGTATTTATATAATTCTTTATTTGTTTGATGGTTTTACTACCTAATAGTCTTTTATTACGATTTGTTTGATTCAAGGTATATAACACTAATTATTTATTCTTACATTGAAGTTCGATAACGCCGAACGTATTTGGTAAAATTTGGCACTTGGATCACTACATCCCTAATTCGTGAATATCAAGGGATGCTGACACATAGAAAAATTTTCGCCAGCAAATAGATTGTTCGCATTTTTTAACGCCTAATTATTTACAAGATTCTTATTGAAAGCTATCCAGCAATCTATTTTAGTTTTTTTAAATATTTGCATTTCAAAGCTGAGATTAAGAAACATGTTCTTTTATTGCTGGATTTCTTTTTATAACCACAAACTTTGGTATAAAAAAGTTAACAATATAATAATGATATTTTACAACGCCAAAATATATACCAAATTTTCAGTGTTTCAATCGCATTTGCGTTGCGTTTCAATACCCTTTAGAAACTAATGAATTTTATTACAAGAAATTTAAGAAATTAGGTAGATATTTATAGATATTTAGTTAACAAATAAATTGGAAAAAATATTATACTATTTACATTTAATACTATTTAGTATTGGTCAGCACCGTTTGGAATATATATCGACAATATACCTAGACGTTCCCTTAAGTCGCTAAATAACTTTGAAATATTTATTGAAAAATGAGTTGACTTATCGGAATCATGCATACAAACAGAAGCTACTCTGTTCCTTTACCTAATAAAATTTTATTTGCATTTGTCACACTTTTCTCGAAACAGCAGCTCAGCTGTTACTCTTTATTGGAATATTCGACGTAAGTATGCGACTTAAATAAAGTCATAGATAGTGTATTACTCTTCATCCGTATCATCTCGAAGACCAGCTTTAAATTGAGGAGGGACTTGTTTTATAAAGCAGTCATCTAGAAATTGACCCATGCTTCGGTAGAGATGCTTTTTCACACCACCAAGGCCGTGACTTTCATCTGGATATATCTGGAACAAAGAATATCAAGATTACCTACTTAGCATTATTAACAGAGATTTTTTAGGTTCTCTATTTTTCAGACACTAGCAACGAATATACATTTCAAAACTTGCCATCCAAGTTATCTGGGTAAAGAGACAGATTGTGGGAATCTCCGAAACATAACAACAAATTTATTTAAGGGGGACGTTTTTACGTTAAACTGCACTTCGCCCCTTCAAGCCCCTAACCCCCAGGGCTACCACCCTAAAAATTTTAAATGATACAGTGGGTCGAGCGATACTTCATTTTTTTCTAAACACACCTGCTTAATTACCTGCCTTTTTATTACATTCCAAAAAAAAGCAGGTGTATTTAGGAATAAATTGTAACCCCTTTTGTTAATGAATTAACAAGAAGCTCATAGGCCCCTTGCATCAAATTTTTTTATTGCTGATTCCGATAGTCCATGAAAAATAAGTCAACACGTGTTTTTTTCTTTTTCTTCTTAGCCAAAAATTGACGGAAATACAACGCTTTGAAATGTGCTTATTTTAGATATCCTATGACGTCACTCCATGCTGAGTATATCTATATATACAAAACTTAATATTTGTATAACTACCAGAATAATCATATTTGGGCGAAATAAAAAAAAAGGAACGAATTTTTTTTTCGATTTCCTACAGTTTGCAATAAACAATAATGAATTTAATTTTTCATGCAAGTACCCTATTATTAGGGGTAGGTTGATAAACTAAGCGGCAGATGAAGTGGGACACCCGAAAAATTGCCTAATTTTGACTTGCTATAACTTCTACATTTCTTTGCCGATCTTGGACTATCAGGCAGGGTTACGAAGCGCCATCTTTGGTCTATGCATCAGTGTCGTCGTACATTTTTTTTAAAAATTCCTTCTCGTTATACAGGGTGTGAATGTAACGCGGCGAAGAATTTCCATTTTTTGGCGAAGAATATGGGAAAGATGGAGGGTCCAATAAAGTTCTTTCTAGTGGTGACTCGATCACTAGGTCAACACCTCGAGTCGTCTTTGCCATTTTTTCGATACATCGCGTTGCTATGGAAATATGGCCATTTAATGGTAATTCGTTTTTCTCTTGAAATTAGCGATTCTTTAATTGAACAATAACAGATTCCGTTCAAATTGCATCATGAAATGACTTATATAGAAAATAGTCAACACCAGTGGCGTGCAAAAGGGGGTTTATGGAATTAAAATAAAAATAATCGATTTTATCTGAAATCTTTAAGTTTTGTTAAGCTTTAAAATTTATCGCCCAAATGCACCATAAGGATTAAGGACTCAATTCAGATTAGTTGCTGAAACCAGGTTAGGACTTCTCTTTTATATGCAAATTTTCGAACTAAGCGAGAATAAACTCCCAAGTTCATACGGTGCATATGGGTGTAAACGGTGTTATAAATAACTCTGATATGATGTCATTTTGGTTCTCCTCTAGCCTGAATAACTGCGTGACACCGCCTTGGCACGCTCGAAATTATTCGGTTAATTAGCTCTATAGTAACTGACTCCCAGAGCTCCAGAATCATCTCCTCGAGATCGTCTAGAGCTTCTGGCTGACGTTCTCCCCGGGAAAGCTCTAACTTCATTCAGCTCCAGACGTGCTCAAATGAATTCATGTCTGAGGATCTAGGAGGCAATTCGGTACGATTGAACTTTTGCCCTTGCAGATACCGGTTCACTAATAATGCTCGATGAGGCTGAGCATTATCGTCTACAAGTACAAAATCTCCACCATAATTTCGAGCATGCCGGAGAACTTGCGAAATCTGACATTTATCCAGGGACACATGGCCGTTAACATTGCCCCGAAATACCACGATACGACGAGTTCTGTTCTTCCGATGTGTTAGATACCGACCCAAACTGTCAATCCTCCACCGCCAAATGCAACTTGAGGACGCATGTTTTCTTCTAAAAAACGTTTTCTCCATCTCCGCCAGGTTAGCAATCGACCGTCAGAATTGTAGAAGTTAAAATGGCATACATCAACGAAAAGACAGTCTGTCCACCTAAAATCCCAATTCAGGTGTTCCTGGGCTCATTTTTTTCGGTTCTCCCGGTGACTGTTTGTAAAAAGTGGGCACTTTGCCCGACGGGAGAATTTAATCCCTGGTCATATAGGCGTCTTCTAATGGTGTCTGCTGAAACATTCAACTGCAGATGCGTTAGGATTCTCTTGACAGTCCAAACACTATTTTCAATTATTGCAGTACGTACTACTAGTCGATCCTGATGAGGATTTGTTCTTTTTTGAGATCCTCCACCGTGTCGATGAGCAGCAGTACCGTTGACAGGTCTGTTCACACGTTTTCATTAAATAACATGAAAAATACTGTTTCTTTTTTTTTACTAAACGCTTCTGAATATCAAAATCAAACTCATCACAGTTATTTATAACACCTTTTTAACTGTAACGCTCAACAAAACCATTAAATTTTTCAAATAAATCGATTTTTTTTATTTTAATTTCATAAATTCCCTTTTGCACGCCACTGGTGTTGACCAGTTCCTATACAAGTCATTCCATGATGCAATTTAAATGGAATCTGTTATTGCTTAATTAAAGAATCGCTAATTTCAAGAGTAAAATGAAATACCATAAAATGGCCATATTTCCATAGCAACGCAATGTATCGAAAAAATAGCAAAGACGTCTCGAGGTGTTGACCTAGTGATCGAGTCACCACTAGAAAGAACTTTATTGGACCCTCCATCTTTCCCATATTCTTCGCCAAAAAATGGAAATTTTTCGCCGCCTTACATTCACACCCTGTATAACGAGAAGGAATTAAAAAAAAAATGTACGACGACACTGACGCATAGACCAAAGATGGTGCTTTGTAACCCTGCCTGCTAATCCAACATCGGCAAAGAAATGTCGAAGTTATAGCAAGTCAAAATTAGGCAATTTTTCGGGTGTCCCACTTCATCTGCCGCTAAGTTTAGTTTAATAAGTACAGAATGGCAAGGGCGCCACTGAATTAAAAAAAAAAAAAAAATAATTAAATTACATAAAATATTGGGGTGTGAAAATCCAGAAACACACCCAAAAAAAAAAAAAAAATGCAAACCGTAATGGACCTTTCTCATGCAATGAACAACAAGGATAGTTTATTAAGATTTCTGCAATAAAGAAAGAGACACATATAATGACGCGCGATACCTGTGTGGAATGACTTTGATTGGTTCCACTTGTCAAATTGTGCAATTTCGGTTATGTTTCTGTTTGTGTTTATTTTTAAAAGTAAATATGACAAATATGTATCAATATTAATAAGAAAGAAAACCCACCGTTGGACAAAAATGTTTTTCTGCGATTGACAAGAAATGTCAGCATTTTTGACCGGTTGACAGGTCGCAAAACTCAATATTCTGGTATTTTAATTATTTTTCAATAGTTGCTAAGGAATCGATGAATAACAATACAGGAATCACTTTTCCGGCCTAGGCCGGGAAAGTGATTCTCGTACTGCTGAACAATTGGAACAAAAAGACAAACATTTAACAGATATTTAACCGATCGCAGAAAAAATAGTATGTGTATTTCGGTGGAAAAGCACATTCTCGGCCTTTGGTGTTTGCCGGCCTCGGCTACGCCTCGCCCGTCAACTTATACCGTCGGCAGAGAATGTGTCACTTTTCCACCTAAATACACAATATACTATTGCAGCAAACCTTTAATTGTACAATTATTATTGTATTTGATAAAGAAATCATTATTTTACGAACCATCAAATCTCTGTCCCAACTCAAGTCGACTTCATTCGGGTTGAGAGTACGTAATCATTGTTTTCTTAAAATTTGATTGCTTGGGAACTTGTAAAAAGAAAGGTTTGACTTCTTTTTCACCTTACTCTGACAAGATCTCACACAATACATTTGAAAAATTGTATAATAAACAGTTTTTGTGATAATTTTCAGCAATATTGATTGATTATTGACGTTAGCTTAAAAAACGTTAGGTGCAGACCACGTTCCCGCATTCATTCAATTGATTATACAATTCACTGTACATTATTTCCATATGACACGAGAGGCTTAACAAGTGATAAGCCTTTTGGGATTATCGCGCTTGGTGACAATATTGTTCATTTGGCATTAATGATAATAAAAATTAATAAAGTATCGAAGTTTAGTTCGTTGTATAACCTTCTGAATACCACTGGATGTTTCAGGATTACCTAATACTTTTACCTGACACTCAACGCGTTACCAGCAACACCACTCCTCCTTCGGAGTCGTGGTGTTGCTGCGTAACCCGTTTCGTGACAGGTAAAAGTATTATCCGGTAATCCTGAAACCTCTTGTGGTATTACATTCGATAATTTTAATATCTGTCATCTACAAGCTGCGCGCGCAGTACAGGTAAAATGAGAAAGGTCCATACTGAAAAGGAAATATATAAGACATATAACTCAACCAAATCTAGACATAGGTAAACCAATAAAACAATTAAGGCAACGTTCCATAAGTTAACCAAGATTCTTGGTTTTTCGGGATCCCGTTCCTTAACCTAACCACTCCTGAAATCTGGTTAGATTATGAAACGCGGTTCCTGAAAAATTCGGTCCCAACTGTCAACCGAATCTACCGATCAAGAAGCTTTGGTTGTTTCGGTTTGTTTTCAATTTCTGACATTTCTTTGTTTCGTTAGGTGATAATTTTTCAATTTTTTTATTTTTCTTCCGCTTTTGGAGTGTATTTGCAGTGAAAGTAGAGCAGGAGGTAAATATTACATTCATTCATGTCGATTTCTCATTAATATATTTTTAAGAGGATAATATTCTGTCATCTAGCATCCAAGACAAACCAAAGCTGCACCGAAGCGTCCCACACATAAAGCGCATTTTCAGGAACCAGAATGTCACCATAGACGAACCGCTCCATACCGATTGGTAACTCTGCTTAAGAAACGGAACGCCGCGCCGTCTAAGTGAGGTTCAAACTAAATAAGTATAAATTTTCACACAGGTGAGGTCATAA